GGATTGCATGTTTCATTCAGGTGTCATGTCTTTGTGGCTTCCTTTAATCTGAAGTAGTTCCTTAGTTTTTCTTCACCTTTCATGACTGGACACTTTAAAAAATATATATATATATGTATTTTTTACAGTGGAAGGGAGAGGGATATAGAGTTAGAAACATCAATGAGAAACATCTATCAGCTGCCTCCTGCGCACTCCCTACTGGGAATGTGCCCGTAACCAAGGTACATGCCCTTGACCGAAATTGAACCTGGGACCCTTCAGTCTGCAGGCTGACACTCCATCCACTGAGCCAGACCGGTTAGGGCATGACTTGACACTTTTGAAGATGTTAGTTATTTTGTAGAATGTCCCTAAACTAGGGCTTGTCTGATGTTCCCTCATGATTAGATTCAGATTATACATTTTGACAGGAATAGTACAGAAGTGATGAGTATTCTTTAAAATATATATATATATATATATGTGTGTGTATATATATATATATGTGTATATGTGTGTATATATATATATATATATTTTTTTTTTTTTTTTGGTGAGGGAGAGAGGACTTTAGTGCTGCATTGGCCCTGGAGGGGTCTAGGGCAGGGTGGTGGGGCTTGGTCCGGGGGTTCCACGGCGCCGTCCTTTGCGGTGGCCCCGTAAACAGGGTGTGTGACCACAGCGCTCTCACCAAAGGCCCGAAGTTTCTTATAAATACAGCAGCATTTTGATGAGCGGTGCCCCATGTGTTCGTTGTCCATAGTGTTACTCGTCCATTCCACCTTTTCCTCTGGCTTCCGTTTCCGCAGTTTGATGGTCAGGCTCCAGTTCTTGGGCTCGGTTGTCACGGTAACTGTTGTCGCAGTGCTGGTCTCACTCAGCCTGGCCGCCTTGGCCATGGCTCGGGCTGAGGGAAGGAGGGGGAGACACCCTTCCCTTGCTCTGTGTCTCCGGGACCTAACAGTATCCGTATTGGACTCCAAAAAAATATATATTTTTATTTATTTCAGAGAGGAAGGGAGAGGGAGAGAGAGAGAAAAACATCAATGATGAGAGAAAATCATTGATCAGCTGCCTCCTGCACACCACCCAGTGGGGATTGAGCCCGCAACCCAGGCATATGCCCTTGACCTGAATCAAACCTGTGACCCCTAAGTCTGCAGGCTGATGCTCTATCCACTGAGCCAAGCCAGCTAGTGCCGAGTATTCTTATTGTATGATATCAGGGGCATGGGGTCCGTTTGTCCCATTGCTGGTGCTGTTAACTCGGATCACTTGATTAGGGTGGTGTCTGCTAGGTTCCTTCACTGTGAAGTTATTTTTCACTTTGTCATTAATCAGAGTCTTGTGGGGAGTTATTTTGTGACTACTTTACCAGATTTAGCATCCATTGGTGATTTTTTTGCCTGAAAAATTTATTATGGTGGTTACCAAATGGTAACCCTCTAATTCCATCATTCCTAATACGTTTATTAGTTGGAATTCAGTTGTCAGGCCGGTAGTATGATTAGGAGATGGAGCTTAAGATGATCTCTCTAGGTCAGCGGTTGCCAACCCTTTGGATCTCACAGATCACCAGTTGGTGACTGCTGCCCTAGGTCTAGGGGCAGGGCTCTGGCTGGGGTGGCACACACGATTATGAGCGGAGTACACCTTCCATAGCCTGGGAGCTATGTGAAAGGTACAGAAGGTCCAAGTAGAAAGCCTTTCTTCTAGATGGATTGACCCTTTTATCATTATAAAATACCCCCCCCTTTTTTTAATATGTATTTTGTTGATTTTTTATAGAGAGGAAGGGAGAGAGATAGAGAGTTAGAAACATTGATGAGAGAGAAACATCGATCAGCTGCCTCCTGCACATCAGGCCGATGCTCTATCCACTGAGCCAAACCGGTTTCGGCTAAAATACCCCTTTTTATCTTCATTAACATTTTTGTTTTAAAGTCTGTTTTGTCTGGTAGTACAGTCATTCCAGCTTTCTTGTATGTGCTGTTTTTTGTTTGCACGATAGCCTTTTCCATCCTTATACTTTTAATATATTTGTATCTTTGAATCTGAAGTACCTCTTTTTTAAATATGTTTTTATTGATTTTTAGAGAGAAGAAGGGAAATGGATAGAAGAGAGAAGCATCTATCGGCTGCCTCCTGGACATCCCCCACTGGGGATCAAGCCCACAACTTGGGCTTGTTCCCTTACCGGGAATTGAACTGAGACTTCCTGGTTCATGGGTCGATGCTCAACCACTGAACCACACCATCTGGGCACCTCCTGTATTATTTTGAAGCAGTATACACTATTATTTTTGTAACTTTCTTTGTGTGAATTTGGCATATTGAATCACACTTTAACCTAATTAATAACTATTAAAAGCTTAGAAACCAGGGTATAGTTTTTTAAATCTGATCAATCTAATCATAAATATATTTAGGACTAGAATGTGGTCTTGGCTTTTCTTTGAGATTCAATTTTTTGTAACTAAATGAAATATTAGGATACCTATTTCAGAATACTAAAGAGAAATAAAAGTAAAGCATAATCTGAGTAGATCCAAAAAGAGAAAAAAAAACAAGGATGCATTTGGCATTTTATCAGTTTCAGAGAATGCTGCTGTGATATGCTAACATTCCACCTTGGGTGCCCAACCACCTGGTATATCAGGAGAAGTCAGTGGTTTCTACACTTTGTACCACTTTATACAACTTTGAGTCTTTTATTATTTTCCCTGTTGAACTATTTGATCTGAGTAAATTGGATTGTCAAAACAATTGCTCTTTATTAGTCAAAGGTAGAAATGTAATAATCAATAAAAATAGTGTGACTACTATAAAAGAGTTTTATGTTTTAAACTCTTAAGTAGCTTTGTGAGTTTAAGGGCACTTAATTAGAGGCATTTGCTTAAGTCTTTTAACGATGGCATCTCAGCAACCACTAAGATGAGATAACCCTTCTAAACAAGATTTAGCCATTTTTTAGCTTTTGGCTGCAGACTACAAATAAATAGAAAAATCTAAATTATTCAAATAATGTATGAGAAAATGTACAAATTTGATTAGGCGTAATTGTGAGGCTAGTTTATTTCCTGTGATGCAATTTCAGAGAGACAGCATAACCTAGAAATGAAAAGTCTGGACTTTGGATCACCTGGTTCACATACCACCTCCTGCTCATGAGCTGAATGATTTTGGTCAAGATGTCTAACTAACTGCCAAGGTTTGGTTTCATAGCCTCTAAAGGAGGGATGAGAGATTTGACATTGTGCTTACCATAGTGTCTGGTTTTTAGTCAATTCTATAAATGGTAAATTATTGGTCATATTTAGACTTTAGGAAGTTCTCTGTGCTGTGTGTGAGGCAGTCACAGAATTAGAATATTGGAAATGGAAGGAATCCCAGAGGTGATTTGGTTCAAGACATTATCTTCTAGATGAGGGAAGGTGACAGAGTTGGAGACCAAATTGGCCCTGGCCTCAGTGCTAAGGGCAGTGCTACTTTGCTGGGAATTGACACCATTCAAAACTGCTAGACCTTTTTTTTTTTAGAATAGGGTGTTTTTATGGCACACCCAAGGTTTTTTGTTTTTTTTAAAAAAATATATTTTATTTATTTTTTACAGAGAGCAAGGGAGAGGGATAGAGAGTGAGAAACATCGATCAGCTGCCTCCTGCACACCTTCTACTGGGGATGTGCCCACAACCAAGGAACATGCCCTTGATGGAATCGAACCCGGGATCTTTCAGTCCGCAGGCTGATGCTCTATCCACTGAGCCAAACCGGTTAGGGCTCTGCTAGACTTTTTAGACCTGAATTGTACTTCTCTTTGAATGGTTTAAGTTTCTATCTTTTTGTTTTTCTTTATTGATTAAGGTATTACATATGTGTCCTTATCCCCCGATAGCCCCCCCGCCTCATGCCCTCACCCCCCTGGTGTCTGTGTCCATTGGTTAGGCTTCTATGCATGCATACAAGTTCTTTGGTTGATCTCTCCCTTAAGTTTATGTCTTAATTTGAGAGTTGTGGTTTTATCAAAACGAGACCCCAGTTCTGTTATTCTAGAGTAACTCATGTTTTTAGGAATATAACATTTCACTTTATTAGTGTTTTTATAATTTCCTAAGGGTTCTAATCTTTTCTAATGGAACAAGCCTTAGGGTGTATTATGTTCTATAATAAAATTGAAAATAGAGTCCACATTACTGGAATTACTTGACAGCCAGCTTCATTGGTGTGCTACATTGTTTCAGAAGGCACTTGTTACCTAGATTCTGAAGAAGGCGCTTACTATTTAACAGGATGTAACTTTTTAAAATCCTCATCCAAAGATATTTTTCCATTGATTTTTAGAGAGAGTAGAAGAGAGAGGGAAAGGCAGAGAGGAACATCAGTGTGAGAGAGAAACATTGATTGGTTGCCTCCTGATGGGTTGCCTCCTGCACGCCCTGACCAGGGAGGAGCCTGCAACGGAGGTGCGTTTCCTTGACTAGAATTGAACCCGGGACTCTTCAGTTCGTAGGTTGACGCTCTGTGTACTGAGCCAAACCTCCTAGGGCCAATTTTACTTATTTTGAGACGTTTTTCTGCAGTTGTAAACACAGTACCTATTCTTAGAGGTGAGGGAAAAATATTGGAAGTGACTTGATGTCAGTCACATCAGGAACAGAATCTGTATTTTGCTCCTGAGTAGCTTTTTATGACAGAACAATTGATTACTTTTGGAGTAAAGATTGTTATATTTAGTATTGGTTATTCCAGTACTAAATTTTGAGTTTGATATTGTTCAGTTTCTTTCCTACTGCCTTCCTTCCATGACCCATACCTATTCTGGGCCTCAGAGCCAGCAAAGCAGAGAGAGAGGGGGGTACTGTTCTTAGATAGCTTTTATACTTAATATTAGATGACTCTGGTCCACAGATTGATCACTTGTGCTTTATGAATGGAAACATAAGATATTTTAAATTTGAAAATATTTTTAGCTTGTTTAGCCTATTGAATGTAATAAACATAATATTTAATCTTTTCAGAGGCCGAAACAACAAGGGACTGCCTCAGTCTACGGTGAGTAATTTGAATATTATTTATTTGGAAAAACTGGTAACAAATGTGATTTTGAAACCATAGACCAAAAGTCAAGGCAAAAAAATTCCCTCTTCAATTTTATATCTCCGATATCTTTTACAGATCAGTACTGTTTAGTATAAAATTATTAGCTCTATGTCATTTTGATGATGACTGTATAAAATGTAATATTATCTAGAAATATTTATCATGCATAGTAATGTCATTTCTTCTTTTATAAATCACTAAAGGCGAATCTAACTCCTAAAAGATAAGTGGAATACTAGAACTGGAGTTTGCAGAGCTCTTTGGGTTTAGATTTTGAGTTAATGTGCTATCTTTTATTTCTTTTCATTTTTCTTCCTTTGAAAGGGCCTTTTGGGTTTAAATTGGGCACAAACAGAAGAAGGTATAAGTTCCACTCACTAATTTTTGAGACTTTGTCTTTATTGGGCAGTTTTTCTTCTTTAGAATCAGGAGGACATACACTTATGTAATAAGGAGTGGTGTGACTGATTGATTAATCCTTAGAGCGCTGTCATTGATTAAGTGCTGAGAGCAGATAATCCAAGGTCTTCTACAACTCTACCCCATTTAGTATTAAGGTATTCTTAACCCTGTTTAGTATACAGATCTGTGAATTTTGATGCATACCCTTGTGTAACCACCACCATAATCAAGATAGTAGAACAGTTACATTGCCTCTAAAAATCCCTCATGTCACTTTATAGTGAAATCTCCCCAGTCATTGATCTGTCTCTTCTATTCCTATGGCTTTGTCTTTTCCTCATACATGTAAGTTCAGTTTTGCTTTTTATATCAGGCATAGTCAAAACATTGTTATTTGGTGTGAAAACTTAATTTTCTATTCTCTAAAGAAGCAAAAGACTATAGTAAACCAAATCTTCCTTTAATGCATGTAAGGTATTACAAACCTAACTAAATATTTTATAACAAAATAAATGTTTAATATATGTGCAAGGATAAATATTGATTGCTGATAATATTTTTTTCTTAATATTCCAGATTTCTTTTGATGGAATCTATGCAAATATGAGGATGGTTCATATACTTACATCAGTTGTTGTAAGTTATCAGATTATTGGGGAGAAACTGCCTTGGGAGTGGAATAAAATAATTTCATGAAGTTAAAATGTGGCTGAATGATTCTCTGTGTAACATTTCTTAGGTCATGTTTAATCAGGAATTCTGACTAGAATTTCAGAGGTTAGAATTCTACCCAAGTTACTGTAATTCATTATAAAAAGCATTCTTGTTAACTCTGTTGTGTACATAATATTAGTAGTTGTTATGATGCATTATTTTGTCACCTTATTAGGACTGGCGTCAGAAATACTTAACTTCAGTATTTAAGTTCATGCTGTAAATTCTGAACAGAATTCTGTGAGAATTGTGTATTGTTGATATTTTAAAAACTTTTATTGTTCTGTCAGTGAGCACCTGATATGTTGAATGAAGCCTGATGAATTATAAAACGTAAATTGAAAACAATTACCACCATGACTGGGTATCACACTGTTTCTTTGATAAATTAATTATATGTTTTTAGGGATCCAAATGTGAAGTACAAGTGAAAAATGGAGGTATATATGAAGGAGTTTTTAAAACATACAGTCCTAAGGTAATTTTTACTCTTTTCCTTTTTGTTAAATGTGAAACCCCATGAATCATTAACTGCCCTGTGCTTGTGTGGCTTCCTGACAGTGCCTGTTGGTTTTTGATTTAGCAATTTATAGTTATGAGGTGGGTGTGTTTGTCACATTTTCATGCCCAGTGCTTTACCTTAAAAGCACTTTTTAAAACCACTTTGAATGATTTTGCTCTTCAGTTTCAAATACTGATTATTTTATAGATGGTATGTATAATCAAAAGGATTTCTTGTTCTGTGTGCTTATTAAAATATTTTGGCCTTGCCCTAGCTGGTTTGGCTCAGTGGATGGAGTATGGACTGAAGGGTCCCGGGTTTGATTCTGGTCAAGGGCACCTACCTCGATTGTAGGCTCAGTCCTTATCCCCGGTGGGGCGTATGTGGGAGACAACCGACTGATGTGTCTCTCTCACATCAGTGTTTCTCTCTGTCTCTCCCCTGCACTCTTTCTAAAAATCAATATCCTCTGGTGAACATTAACAACAAAAATATTTTGGCCTTTTCACGTATTGTGGACCAGAAGGGGGAGAAATTGGGTTGTTTGTTTGTTTTCTTTTTTATTACTATTAATGTTCTCGAGGCATACCATGGTAGCAAGGACCAACTTTAGGTGAGAGGATTTTTAAAAGATGGAATGGGAAACAGTTCATATTTCTGAGGAAAACGTATAATTATAGTTCTCTTGAGAGAGATTATTTTTTGCCAAAGGCATGTAAGCATAGTACTTTGATGTGCTGAAGAAGTCATGTCAAGTTTATTTTATAAATGTTTAAATATTTACTCACGTTTTTCATTTTAGTGTGATTTGGTCCTTGATGCTGCACATGAGAAAAGTACAGAATCCAGTTCAGGGCCAAAGCGTGAAGAAATAATGGAGAGTATTTTGTTTAAGTGTTCAGACTTCGTTGTGGTACAATTTAAAGATATGGACTCCAGTTATGCAAGAAGAGGTGAGTTTTGATTTCTTAAGTATGCTTCATGGTTTATAAAATTTGTTCAAGCAGACTCTACAGACATTTTTTTTAAAGAAATATGGGCTTTAAAAAATGACCTGATTAAGATAAATGGGGATTATAATGCATTTTTGTTGGAAAATGTTAAAAACTAGTGGAAGATTCATTGGTACTTTTAGTAGGATAAATAATGAGAGTTTGTGTTCTTATTAAAAAATAGTTTGTAAAGGATTTTCTACAGTGTCATGGTTAAACATGCTGCTGTTACACTCATCGGAAAATTTCTTCTCCCATTTGTTCTGCAATGCTTTAGTTTATACATTTTTCATTTTATCATGCTTATAAATAACACTTATAGTTTTATTAAGCTTATAGTTCTATAAATGCTTTAGTTTCCGTTTTATAAATGCTCTGGAAAGAAATCAAAGGCACAGAGCTAAGGGAGAAAGGCTGTGGATAGAAAATGATTAATGAAGACAAATGGTAAAGGAGAGCCATACATATTTGAAAAAAAGTTCAGGGTATGGGACTACGTTTTGAGAATATAAAAGTGGTGATGTATTATATTAAAATTTAGTATGTTTCAGCTGTTCATTGAGGAGAAAAATGTCAGAGTTGCTGTTATTCATTTAGAGAGTATATTTTATAGTGCTGAATGTTCAATAACATTGTACGACTCTTCTGGGCAATTTTGAACTTGATTCTTAAATTGATTTTTTCTCTTGGTCAAATTTCATAGTCAATTCTATTGCAAATTATAACTCAGCAAGTTTTAATTCTTATGATTCAGTCTATGCCAACAGCTGTTTCTGTTGTGCTAATTTTTCTACACTGTTATTTAGAAGTTATAAGCCACCAGAAAGTTAAAGCTTTTCTCTTGGACCTCTTAACAAGGTTCTCACCTATAGTTTGCTTGCTTTTTCAGAAGCTAGCCATGCTAGGTGCTCTGTAACTTTATTACAGTGTTGATAAAAGCACTGTGTCCTGTTCTTGTATCTTCTCAAATGTCTATCTTGTATTTGTTTTTTTTGTTAATCCTCATTCAGTGATATTTTTTCCACTGACTTTTAGAGAGAGTGAAAAGGAGGGAGGGAGGGATGGGGGGAGAGAGAGAGAAACATCAGTGTGAGAAAAACACATCAATTGGTTGCCTCCCACATGACCCGGACGGGGAATCGAACCTGCAACCCAAGTACGTGCCCTTGACCGGCATATACATACCTTGAAATTGGCATTTTATTTTAACTTGGTTTACTGTCTCTTTCCAATGTTCCTTTCTCACCTGCTTTTTTCTCTTGCCCTCTTTCTGCTCTTCTTATTGGTCCTTATTTATATTTTCTCTCTTTAATATCCCAATTCAACTATGTTTCAGTTCTGTGCCCTCTTGTCTATTTCCTTATTTCATTCTCCCTCATATTTCTTTCTCCTGCTTTATTTCCATTGTAGTATTCTCAGTCTAGAGAACAGGGGTCAAGTGGGCCAAATCCACTCATCAGTAAATAAAGTTTTATTGTAACATAGTTATGCCCATTCCTTTATGCATCGTTAGGGACCGTGTTTCATGCTACAGTGATAGAGTTGAGTAGTTGTAATGGAGACTTATATGGCTTGCAAAACCAAAAAATATTTGCCTACTTTATAGAAAACTTTTTAGAAAAAGTTTGCCTACTTTAGTCCTATATCATTTTTCCTACTGCACATGGGCTGTTAGGGCTGATCAAAAATACATACCATGCTGGGTTTGGTGAAATAACACAACATACTTTTTGTCTCTAAACTCATGCTTTGACTGTAATCTAATACTGTGTAATTTCATTTTTTTAAAATTTTATTTATTGATTTGAGAAAGAGATTTGTTGTTCCACTTATTCATGCATTCATTGGTTGATTCCTGTATGTGTCCTGACCAGGGATTGAACCCCCAACCTTGGTGTATCGGGACGATGCTCTGACCCACTGAGCTACGTGGCCAGGGCATCTTCGCCCTTTGCCATCATCGTTCTCTTTCCTTTGGGTTTTTTATTTTATTTTTATTTTTTATTGATTTTTTACAGAGAGGAAGGGAGAGGGATAGAGAGTTAGAAACACTGATGAGAGAGAAACATCGATCAGCTGCCTCCTGCACACTCCTCCCCACTGGGGATGTGCCCGCAACCAAGGTACATGCCCTTGACCAGAATCGAACCTGGGACCCTTGAGTCCGCAGGCCGATGCTCTGTCCACTGAGCCAAACCGGTTAGGGCTCTGCTTTGTTTTTTTTAGTGAAGAGGATGTCTCACCTCCTGCTTAATCTCGACTTCTCCAGTCATGCCCTTGACTCTGTCCATTCTGCCATTCCTGGTTCTTGCTCTTTTATATCACCTCTCTGTTTCCAAACTCTCAACCTCTTCCTCTCTGCTTACTCTTGCCCTTTAGCCTGAAAACCTATTCAAGTCCCTCTTATCCTAAAAAGTATCCCTTTTAATCCTGAGTTCTTCTAGTGACTATCTTGTCTTTCTTCCTTTCTTATCCAAACATTTTAACTACTATTTTCCACGACTTCTCACTCCATTGTAATCTGCCTTTTGTGCTCACATGTTGGAAACTTCTGAGGCTACCAGTAACCTCTAATTGGTAGGTTTTTGGACTCTTTTGAAGTCTTTACTGCTGCATTTTACACTGCTGATTTCACCCTCCTTCAGAGCTGCTCTTTATTTTTCATGTGTCTTATTAATCATTCCTTTTCTGCTTTATTCTATCTTAGTTTCTAGCACACTGCACTGCCCTTATGTGCTTGTGTTCCCAATGTTTGTTTCTTTGCCCTCTGCTTACCACATACCAGTCACTTATATGCTCTCATAATTTCAGCTAGCACGTATAAGCCCCTGCCAATAATGGCCGTATCATTGCCCTTATAACATATTGTATTATAATTAGACTAAAGGCCTGGTGCACGGATTTGTGCACTGGTGGGGTTCCTTAGCCTGGCCTGTGCCTTCTCGCAATCCAGGACCCCTTGGGGGATGTCGGAGAGCCGGTTTTGGCCTGATCCCCATAGGCCAGGCCTCGACCAATGCATAAATCCGTTCACCAGGCCTCTAGTATGCATATAAGATCTTTGGTTAATTTTTTCTCATCTCCCCCCCACCCCCTTTTTCCCCTGAGATTCATCAGTCTCCATGTTTTCATGCCTGTGGTTTCTGCTCCTATGTTGAGTGTCTGCCCTCTGGCGGTCAGTGCGCATCATAGCTACTGGCCGGTCGCTTAGGCTTTTATATGTATACTAGAGGCCCAGTGCACAAAATTCGTGCACTGGTAGGGTCCCTAGCGGCTGCCTGCTGGGTACTCCCTCCCTTCCCCCGGCTGCCTGCCGCCACCAGGGCCTCCCTTCCCCCTGCCACTGCTGCCAGCTGGGGCCTCCCTTCCTTCCTCCAGCCGGCCCTGCCCCCTGGTCGAACTCCCGGTCGAGGGGACAATTTGCATACTACACTTTTATTGTATAGGATAAATAGATGTTTCTGTCTCCCTCATTATTATACTTTGAGCTCCTTGTACTAGTATTTGGGTACTGTATTTTTTTTTTTGTCCTCAGAGCCTGGTATAGTGTTTTGGCACATAGTACTGGTGTAATATAAATGTCTTTTGAACAAATGAAATTAGAGCCTTCATGTAAAGAGTGAGAAAGCTATAAGTGTCTTATGTATACAGCCTGCCAACAAATACTTAACGAGCTGTGGAATGTGTCCATGGCTGTGCTTGTCACTATGGGAAGTACAGAGAAACCCAAGACTTAATCTACTTTGGGTCCCTTTTGAAAACTTAGTGAAGCTGCATACCCTCATCCTAGAAAAACACACAAACACGCTTCTACATTCACATTTCCCTAAGGAGTTCATATATTCCATGTTAAGAAGCTCTGCCCAAGGCATGTGAAAGAAATCAAGAAGAATGGAATGTTGAAATAGGTGGCATTGTTTTCCAAATGGAGTCCATAGATAGGAAGAATTGTATTAGTTATAGTAGTTGGAGGAAGTTGGGGTGTGAATGTGTGATTAGAGAGCAGTGAGAGAGAATGTCATACGGATTATTTTCTTCTAATATTGTAACATTGTGGTTGCCCTGCACATCTGATAGGACAAGGCCCTCTGAGCAGCAGAGAGAGGGCTCTCTTCTAAAGGGCATGCATTGGGATGCCATGGCAGTCATTGAAGGAAGAGACAGATCATAGAGGAGGATATGGCCTAGGAAGTCTTGGATTCTGAGTGGGTCAGACATGTTTCAGATTCATTTATGGTTGGTGCTCTGGTAGGGCCGGCAGGCCACAGCCTTGGAGCTAAGTAGATACATTCTTGTAGCTAAGAGTGCAGTAGGCTCTGTAGAAGGGCAGGAAATGCTAAAGTTGGACGGGCACTCAGCTTTAAAGCTAGTCGAGTGATCAGGATCAATAGCCTGTCCTTTGGGCAAGAGGGAGGAGAGGCCCTGTGGTAGGCAGACAGATGAGGTGATGGATATCTTGTGGCTGGGGGCTGCCCAGGTTAGCTGGGCAGGAAAGCCCTATAAGGAAGTTGACTTGGGCTTGTAGCTTTTCTAGTGAGCCAGCTCTAAGAAACACCATGATCTGATATTCTTTCCTTAAACGGAACCACTAGGAAGTTTACTACCTTAGCTTTGCTGTGGATTAGTAAAAGAAGGATGTGTGTCTGTGCTGGGGGCAAGTAGTGAATGGAGACTAGCATTTATTGAGGCCAGTGTTTAGGTGGCACAGAAATTGAGATTTAAAAAAGAAGCAGGTATAAAGGACCCAGGTGAGGGAAAACTAAATGGAGGAATTTGAGGTATTCATAGGGAAGTACTGCATACTTATTAAAATAAGGTCTCCTTTGCCCTGACCGGTTTGGCTCAGTGGATAGAGCATCAGCCTGCGGACTGAAGGTCCCGGGTTTGATTCCGGTCAGGGGCACATGCCTGGGTTGCGGGCTCGGTCCCCGGTAGGGGGTGTGCAGGAGGCAGCTGATCAA